TTTAACTTTTTTTAATATATATATCTAAAGTGAAAATGCCAGCATTTTTTTTAAATAATTTTTTGTATCGGCATAATCATATGGTTATTGGCAGACAAAAGAACTATTCATTGAACACACACTGATGTTTTTCTGCTTTATTAAGTAATCTGGCATAGTAATGACATACTGCTGTTTAATCATGCAGATTTGAGAAGATTGCCTTTTCTGAAAAAAAAAAGCTCAAGATAAGTTTATGACATGTCTGTATTTAAAATACATTATAATTAGCTGCCTTAGTATTCACAGAAAACTATTACATTACATCGCAGGTGAAGGAAATTGTCAAACCATTGTTTTGAGCAACAGAAACCATAATAAAAATGACAATTTACAATCCTGTTTAACAACCTGATGTTTATGAAGTCTAAATTGTACCTTTATTAAAGATTGATGTAGAGAAACATTACATGGATCAAATATTCATTATAGATAAACGTTGTCTGTGTGGCACTGTGTGGTTTACTGTGATTCCAAGTATTTCCAATTTGTGAGTTTTTAAGTAGGTGCTGGCAGCCATTGTTGTAATTTCCCCAAAAAACAAAATCTATATTTACCCATGTGACAACAAGGCTTGTCTCCAATAAATAGTGTATTTTACAGTTGTGGAAACACCATGTCTTTTCAAAATGCCCCTGATCTTAACAGATCCCTCTTGAATTATTGTTCACAAAACTGTAAAGCATCTATTAGTCTTAAGCAGACTGGACAGAGCAGAAAATTGCAATGAAAGTGATTCTCAGATTCAGGTCCATGTCTAAAGTGCTATTCCTGTTTTCAGATGCCAGCTGAATACTTCGCATCTTCTCTCCACCTTGAATTTTTTCACTTTTGTTCTGTCTTTCCGGTCTAGAATGGAAAATGTTGTCAGGGCTTCGGTAAGTTTGATAGTGATGGTCACCTTGAGGGAGTTTGATCAAAAGCACTGGAAGCAATAAATAGAGCAATCCTAAAATAACCACCGATGCTGACATACTGCTTCATTAAAACGTCTTTATCTGTCTCCATTACGGAAATATCACAGGTCAAGGGATCTGCTTTGTCAAGGACTAATCCACTGAATTTCCTCCTCAATAGCCCATCAACATTAAGCAGAACCAATCGACAATACCGAATCTCTTGCGCTTGGAGGTCTTTATGCTTTTTAAGGAATGTCTTTGGTGGTCCCCACTTGATACACTTTCAGGGTTTGGTACATACCTGGGTTGGTCAGGGGTCAAACCCTTTTTGTTATTCATTCGCAATACCTTGGAGGTCTCAAGAGAGAGACCAAAGAGTAATTCAATAGATGTAAAGCCCTCTCTTGTCAAAGTACATGATGAAATATATTGAAGAATCTAATCACTGATTAGCATTTGATTAAAGCATTCCACTAAATCACCTGCTTGTAGAATGGAAAATGAAGTATACCAACTTGCACAATCCCAGCACAAGCTGGGAAACTTATAAGGCACCATAGTAACAGTATTACCTTTTTGTACTTGATATAATTTACAGTTTGTTCTTTGTTTTTCTGTCATGGCGTTCAGAGTGTGAATTACAGAAGGGTTTGGAGGGATTGATACCCATAATAAACGCTTGATCCCCTCTGAAGGACATCAAAACAAGATGTATGGGGGGGGTTCAGCACTTTAATACTGATAAATAGTTTACTCTGCTATGTATTTTAAATAGTAATGTTATTAATTAAAATAATAGATAATATAAATAAACATTTGACCACCCTCTAACAGTTCATACCACTGTGAATGCACCAATCAGGCAGATTGGTGCAGCGGCAGCAGTAATGCGGTCGATGTACCGGTCCATTGTGGAAAATAAGGAGTTGAGCCGAAAGGCAAAGCTCTCGATTTGCCGGTCAATCTTCGGTCCTGCTCTCACCTATGGTCATGAGCTTTGCCTCATGACCGAAAGGCAATGATCTTGCATAAAAGTGGCCGAAATTAGTTTTGCAGGGTGGCAGGGCACAGGGTGAGGAGCTCTGAGCTCAGACTAGAGCCGCTGCTCCTCCACATCGAGGGAAGTCAGCTGAGGTGGCTGGGGCATCTGTTTTGTATGCCACCTGGACACCTCCGGAGGTGTTCCAGGCATGTCCCACTGGGAGGAGGCAGCAGGGAAGAACCAGGACATGCTGAAGGGACTATGTCTCTTGGCTGGCATGAGAATGCCTAGGGATCCCCCGGAGGAGCTGGAGGAATAGGGGAAAGGGAAGTCTGGAATTGTCTCCTAAGACTGCCGTCCCCGCGACCCAGCCCCAAATAATAATGAGATGAAATAAGCTCCCTTATCCTCCATAGATAGCAAGTGTCCCGAGACATTCAAAGTCCAGAAAAGGAAACAAAAAATGTGTACTTGTGTTACTTCGGTGATTCAGCTGTAATCATACGAAGCTCCAAGAACATTTTTGTGCGGCAAAAAATGTGAAAATGACCTTGTTCACCAATCAGAGTGCATGTTTACTACTGGCAAAACAACACTTGCTTGTTTCACTGCTGATTCTACAGGCAATACAACATATTCAGCATAGTAAACACTTTTTTTTAATACCTTTATGTTTAAGAGTGCAGTAATCCCTGCATAGTGGTAATCCACTTAAAACGGCAGATGTTGCAGGACCTGGTATAGGCCCAACAACAAGGAGACACCCAGATGTAGTACAATTCTCCAAATGCCAAGCCACTCCTCAGACTTTCTGTAATTGGTACCGGTGCAGTCAGGTTAAGGCAAAGATTTCCATATTGTTTATGCAGAAGATGGGAATGGTCCTATAGGTAGCCAGCTGACTTTACCCAGTGTGATTGATCTTCTTGAAACTGCCATCCCTTCAACTATACATTGTGAATTCAGGATATATGTTTAGGGTGACTGTGTCAGGGAATATGTTCGTTGTACATCACATCTGTTGCCAGGATGTTTTATTCACAAACATTCCTGGCTAACACTGACTTTTCACTGTGGCTCAGAATAACAGGACTGTGCTTCAGTTTTGAGAGCCCTCAGGACCAATGTCTCCAGGGTTGTGGCTGTGCTTTCTTTCTTTACCTCTTCTATTCGCTGGCTAACATTTCAATACCTTATGCCAGCCCTCCTGCACGAGCCAATCCCAAGAACATCCCAGGGTCTTTCATGTATAGCACAGCTTTCTTCATAGTAAGGGAATGCAGGAAGCAGGACAAATAATGACCTGTAGAGATTGTCAGGGACCATCAGAAAGGGGAAATAATCTCCAGAAAGTAAAGTGTGATGGCTGAGGCATGGGAATTAAATAATTTATTTTCAAGTGTGTTTCTTAAAGGGATTGTTAACCCAAAAATGAGAATGCCTGGGCCAATTCCTTCCCTACTCAAATGCTTCTAAACGTCTCTGAATTTCTGCTATATATACTGTATATATACGTATACTGTCTTTAGTGTACTATATAGTATTGAAGTATGCGATTTAGTATTGAAGTATGCAAAGTTTGAACACCTCTGCCCTAATAGTACATATTAGTACCTTAATAGAGGATACCTACAGTACTTATTTTCGTAGTCAACGGGATCATAAAACTACTTTACTCTGCATAAACTACATTTTACACCACTTAAGATGACAAAGCAAACATCAAAATAATACTGGTTATTTTTATTTAATGTCAGTAGTGGTACTACGGCGACATTATGGCACAGTGGCTAGCATGGTCGCCTTACAGCAAGAAGGTCATTGGTTTGAGTCTCAGCTGGGTCAGTTGGTATTTCTGTGTGGAGTTTGGATGTTCTTCCCATGTTGGCGTGGATTTCCTTTGGGTTCCTTTGGGTGCGGTTAACCACCCATCCAAACACATGCGCTATAGGTGAATTGGTTAATCTAAATTGTCTGTAGTGTATGTCTTGGTCCTTCGGTTTAGAGGTTGAGCTTTGGGCTAGCAACCCACCTCCTAAAAACTAGATGTTACAAAACACCAGTATGGCGTGGCTCAATATCAACTTCGATATACATGGCCCTGGGAGTGTGTAAGTAAGTAAGTGGCACATAAACAATTTACGCTCGTAGAAATCTTACATTTTGTGGCGTGCCTTTTTCATCTCTTTGTTTTATCCATGAGCTAGTGTCAGGGTGTGCTCAGTTATGTGTGCATGAAAGTGGACAGAATCAGAAAGCTCAGCTCATTTGAAACTGCATCTCTCATCTGATATCTTGTGTTTGTACAGGAGGAGCCATACGTCATGCTTAAGAAGTCTGACAAGGCACTCGTCGGCAATGACCGCTTTGAGGGCTTCTGCATAGACCTGCTTAAGGAGTTGGCCAGCATTCTAGGTTTCTCCTACGAAATCCACCTGGTGCCAGACGGAAAGTATGGCTTTCAAGATGACAAGGGCCAGTGGAACGGGATGATAAGAGAACTCATGGAACACGTAAGTGTTTAGCGGTTAACTAATAAGTAGGCCTACTAACAATGCAGTTTCCGCTGATTCAGATTTCCGCATTGCTAATTACGCCTTTCACTTTTTGATGTCTAAACAAAATGCCAAGATGACACAATAATGCAATTAACCGAATGAGTTGCTCGCTTCTTTTCTCTGAAACGCATCTTGCAAAGGTGACAGAACACACCTGGATTGCATTGACACACGGTGAAGACACAGCAGCAAGTGCTGCCGCAGCAAATATACGTTTAAATGCCTCTACCGAGTCAGCAGAACTGCACAATGCTGAAAGCCGATGTACCCCAAGTCCATTCTCTAGCATCTCAGTGCTGTCAGATTGGGGACGGGTGTAAGCCCTGTGACAGGGAAGGGTGCTGCTGTGCTGGCGTCTCATCCCATCGCCCTTTCGCCGTCCTCACCTTCTGAGGTCACCAGAAGCCCGGGGCTGGAGAGCTGTAATAGCTTAAGTGGCATTTAGTGGAGGAAGTCATATGGGGGGAGTCAATGGCGAGGTGCTGCAAGGGTTGGGAGAGGTGACTTACTGCAGCGGCACTTAATCTTCCATGTGCTTTGGCCAGATCCGGCCCGATTGCAGTCACCTTGAGGCGAACAAAGGGATTATGGCTGGAAGAGTCAAAAATTGAGATGGCGTGCGTATGTGACCGCAGGTGAAAAAGTATGAGAAGTACATACAGTAGGAAGTAAGAAAGTTTAATTAGAATGTTAGCACACTGAATTCACTGTAAAAACAAAAAACTCATGACAAAAAGTCAAGACAACTATTTATTTTTTGTTGTTGCTTTAACTTGATTTAATAAGTTAAGCAGGTTTCAATTATTCTTTTTTTTAATTATAAAAAGTTTAATATTTAATATTTAATATTCTAATATTCTAATATTTATAGTCAGTTTGATTAATATACAGTTGAACTCAGAATTATTAGCCCCCCTGATTTATTAAACCCCTGGTTTATTTTTTCAACACATTTCTAAACATAATAGTTTTAATAACTCATTTATAATAACTGATTTATTTTATCTTTACTATGATGACAGTAAATAATATTTGGCTAGATATTATTCAAGACACTTCTATAGAGCTTATAGTGACATTTGAAGGCTTAACTAGGTTAATAAAGTTAACTAGGCAGGTTAGGGTAATTAGGCAAGTTATTGTATAACGATGGTTTGTTCTGTAGACTATCGAAAAAAAAGTTAGCTTAAAGGGGCTAATAAATTTGCCCTTAAAATAGTTTTAAAAAATTTTATAACTGCTTTTATTTTAGCCGAAATTTAACAAATAAGACTTTCTCCAGAAGAAAAAACATTATCAGACATACTGTGAAAATTTCCTTGCCTACAGATTTTATCATAATAATAATTTGAAACATTAAAATAAAACAAATATTAAATTGTTCATTCTATTTTGGATGTTTTTGTAAGGCTCCAAGGGACATCTTTCCGATTCTGTGTGGTATATATGAGGTAATTATTCAGTCCAAACAGGGTTGTGGAAGGGCCTGTGCTTTCAGGACTGTAGACTCGGACCCTCGCAGCAATAACATGTCTTCTCCCCCTCATAATCTGAGACATTCAGACAGAAGAGCCTAATGAGTGTGGAGCAGAGCACAGACAATATGGACAATAAATAAATAAATAAAAATACAATGCAATGAATTACGCAACAGTGAATCCTTACTTTTCAGGCAATCCCCGCTTAGTTTAGCACACACCTGAGCTTTCTTAAATAAAAAGTGTCTTTCACATATAATCGACGTATAAGCTTGTTGATAAGCTGTTTGATGAATAAATATGGATTTCGCGTTGTTTATATAATTGTTTATGTCCTCGCTACAACATACTGTTAATGCTAGAAACTGTGCATGTAGCTGATCAATTTTAACAAATAAAAATACTTACAGGTTGTGGCTCACAATCACAAGGGGTTTTTAGCTGAATCCAACACTAAGCTAGGAGAGATTCTGGATTCTGGAGATTCCCTTTGCATTGAACGTTGAGCGTCTTACATTCAGAGATGTGATTATGTTAACACAGCTACAGTTTAAAATATGATATGGTAGTGGACCACCCATTTAAACATGCTTGTTTGTTGTAAAAAAAATCTTAATAATGACAAAAAATACTCATTTGTGCATCTATTTACTTTATTATTTGTAGCTGGTGTGTTCTGGGAAATTTTCTTACTTTCATGTTGATTTTACATCATATTCAAATGATTCACAGTCTAATAGTTTAACTGTCAACTGTTTATTAAACCAAGGAAAATGTTTAGAGAACATGGCCCAAGTGACTGTACTATGTTTTCTTTTTTTATATTACCTTTCGTGAAATTTGTAACATAGTTTTTTGATTGTAAACACTGCACTAACGGCCTACATAACTTTTTTTGTCTTGTTTCTAGTCCAAATATTTTTTAAGGAGCTCCTATTATGCATTATTAAAGGTCATATTTTGGTCTTGAGGGCCTCCAACAACAGTCTGATATGCATACAAGGTCAAAAAACACTTGTACTGAAAAGTACCAAACTTTCTAATTTATTAGATATTTTTACATACTAAACTTGTTCTTGCTAATAAGGGGACTCGGTGGACATTTATGAAAACGCCATTAATAATAATAAACAAACCTAGTAATAATTGTTATTGAAAGCAAACTCTATTTACCTGCTCATAATCTGCTTCGTTTTTAATAACTGCCTAACCAACTGTCCGTCTGACGAATTGAAGCAGTTTAAAACCTGAGGCTCAACGCGACGGACTTGGGTGTGTTGTATAATTGAACCTTATCAGATGTCCTGCAGAGTATCGAAGGAGTTTTTATTTTGTTTTATTTTATAATTAGTTTCAATTTAATTTAATTTACATTCTTACTGATTGGATACTTGTACTTGTGCATACTAAACTTGTACACACTAATAAGGGGATTCGGTGGACATTTAAGAACATGCCATATTAATAATAATAAACAAACCTGGTAATAATTGTTATTGAAAGCAAACTCTATTTACCTGCTCATAATCTCCTCCGTTTTTAAAAATTGCTTTACTAACTATCTGTCTGAGGAATTGAAGCAGTTTTAGCTTCTTTAAATCTTGAAACCTGAGGCTCAGTGCGACGGATTTGGGTGTGTAGTATACTTGAGCCTTATCAGATGGCCTGCACAGTATTGAAGATGCATTTATTTAGTTTTATTTTATATTTAATTTAAATTTAATTTGCATTCTTATTGATTAGATACTTGTGCGTGCTAAACTTGTACACACTAATAAGGGGATTCGGTGGACATTTATGAACACGCCATTAATAATAATAAACAAACCTAGTAATAATTGTTATTGAAAGCAAACTCTATTTACCTGCTCATAATCTGCTTCATTTTTTAATAACTGCCTAACCAACTATCTGTCTGACTAATTGGAGCAGTTTAAGTTTTTTTTTTATTTATAAACCTGAGGCTCAACGCGACGGATTTGGGTGTGTTGTATAATTGAACCTTATCAGATGTCCTGCAGAGTATTAAAGGAGCTTTTATTTTGTTTTATTTTATAATTAGTTTCAATTTAATTTAATTTGCATTCTTATTGATTAGATACTTGTGCGTGCTAAACTTGTACACACTAATAAGGGGATTCGGTGGACATTTAAGAACATGCCATTAATAATAATAATAAACAAACCTAGTAATAATTGTTATTAAAAGCAAACTCTATTTAACTGATCATAATCTCCTCCATTTTAATAGCTACTTAACCAACTATCTTTCTGAAGAATTGAAGCAATTTTAGTTTCATCAAATTTTGAAACCTAAGGCTCAATGCGACGGATTTGGGTGTGTAGTATACTTGAGCCTTATCAGATGGCCTGCACAGTATCGAAGGTGCGGTGTGTATTTTTAGGAGCACTCATTTTGCGGCTGAGTGCCCTTCTTGCTGCTGTCTATATAGATAAGCTGATCTGGAATCAGCAGACCTGAAAAGCAAACTAAGAAACAAGCTCTGGGACCTGACCTCGGCCTGCCACATGAGGCTGAGCTAGATAGAGTGTTTTCATGTGAGTAAACTCAAAGCCTTATCTCTGAAGAAGGATTTATGGACTCGGTGATTTCTCAACCGATTCTCACCAAATGTTGCAGCTTGAGCCTTTCATGAAAACTATTTAAGACTTGAGCGCAGAAGGAGATTTATTTATTTATTTATTATTATTTTTATGGAATGAGTTTCCGAAGTTAAAATGGCGTTTCTGATTGCCCTGCCATTCGTATGTCAAACTAAGCTGTTACTGTTTGGCAAAATCTGCTCAATATCCTTAAACTTTATTCATTCATTTTCTTTTGGCTTAATCTCAAATTTTTTAGAGATCGCCGCAGCAGAATGAACCACCAACTATTCCGGCATATGTTTTACGCGGCGTACTAATAACCCAGTACCAGAAAACACCCATACAATCTCACATTCACAATGACCAGCTTTTTGTTTACCCAGTTCACCTATACTGCATGTCTCTGGGCTGTGGGGGAAACTGGAGCACTCGGAAGAAACCCACGCCAACACGGTTTAACAAGGTTTAACCTCTTTAACCTCACTTCCATCCCGGACGAGCCCCCATGCGTAAACCATCAGTTCTACTGTATCCAAACCAGCCTGAGCTAGGATCGAACAGGCGACTCTTCGCATGTGAGTCAGTTGCTTTAACAAGGAGACTAAAGACCATGGCCCCCTAGCGTCTGTCACCAGAGCACCTTTTGAGGTCAGAGGGGTGAGGTTTACCTACTCTCACCCTCCTACACCTTACACAGACTTGGGTTGGGTGCAGTAGGTCCGGTGGGTTACACGTGGGGGCTCGTCCGGGATGGAAGTAAGGTTTACACTCCTTACCAAATGAGCCCCCATGTTCAACCCACCGGTCCTACTGCACCCAACCCGCTCTAAACTAGGATCGATCTGGAAACTCTTCACATGGGAGTCAGTT